CGGGGCGGACAGCCTCCACGTGCTTGTTGTGATGGCCGGACAATCTCCCAGTAGCTGGAGAAGCCAGACCATTTGCTTTTGCCACTCCTGCTTCTCTAGCAGCTAGGAAAAAAAAAAAAAGTTATACTTTAATTGCATTTATAGATGATTTTTAATACCATTCATCTGGCTGCAGCAGACTACATGTGGCTCTGTTTGCCAGGGAAGCTTAACCTCTCCTCACAAAGCAAAAAGCAGGTTTTTCATGTCCTCCCTCTAACTAGAGTAAACAGCAAGAGAGACAGCAGATAGCTCCACAATTTATGGGTAATTCCTAAGATCAGTTCATGGCACATCTGGTTCTATTTTCAGTTTATTTCTAAATTATGACTGTGACCCAAAGAAGAAAGGGATGCAAATTCACATGTGTATTTCACTTTAAACAACAGAATTTCTTTCACATTTTGCTTAAATCCATGCTCAGGACTGCCTGCATCAACTCACAGAGAGTGAGAAATGCTTTCCTGAACAAAGACACAAGCACACAACAATCAGTTTCAAATTAAAGACTAATAAACCCAAGAACCCTTTCCACATCCTTCTTAGAAAGAATTGCGTCTTGTTTTGTAGAAAGTTTTTTTGTTTTGCTTTGTTTTCTGGGTTTTTTAAAATGTAAAAATGCTTTTAAGCATTAAAGAATGGATTTCCAGAGAAAAATAAGCTGTAGACAAAGACATTACTTGAGAAGCACAGGAAAGGGAAAACAAATGTAATATCCTTTGAATCTGAAATCAAGTGCATGTCAGTAAGGAAATGTAAGACTCCTTCAGTCAATTACTATGGGGAGAAAGACACATATGCAAAATATCTGATGTCAAATTGAACATTTGATTGTTTTTACACGGCTATATGTGACATTTTGAAATTGTCTCTGAGATAGCTATGAACACTTTCATTTAAATGTAATCAATCAGATGATTATCAGTCATTTGAAAAAAAAAAAACCTGCAGTGCTGTCAATCTAGTTTTGGCCAAACCAATCAAATAAAGTCATTTTCACATAATCAGAGTAGCAATTTAGAAAAAACACCATGGAAACGGGCATTTATGTGCATTGTTGTAACCCCCTTCCATTTTCCAGAATTTCATATGATCAGTGCTGGCTTGCACTATGCTGCCAGGCATTTCTTACCAGCACAGGAATCACTGTAAGCTGTCCTGTAAAGCAAACCAGTGCTCAGTGACTCTCCCCCCATTAGCCAAATGACCAGACACATTTCCGTTGCTTACTGAGGTTGCCAGGAAGAAGAGAGCCATCATCCAACAAACTGTTTCTGTTCTTCTGGCGGAGCTGCTCTTCATTGCAGGAGCCCGTTACAGCATCAGAAAATGGGAGCTGGCTCGTACCGTCGTGCGAGAAGTACTGGGAAAGCTCTGCCTCGGAGCTGACAGATCCCTGCTAAAAGAAGTGAGTCTGGTGACTGGCCATCATCGATGCTTAAGGCCCCGTCTGCATGCAAGCACCACAAACTCCACTCGCATTGCTGTGTCAATAAAGGAATTTTAAAGCCAATTTTTAAAATAGAGGACTTGTCAGTATATTCAGAGCCAAACTGTCAAACTTGGATGGCTGAAATGCTGCCCATCAATACATTTTTAGCCAGTATAATAAATAAAAAAGGATTCCAAATCCCACTACTTTGCAGATGTGGTTCAATGCAGAAACAAGGGATGAAACCATTCACGTATATAATTCCCTTTATACACCTTCTGCACTGAGAGAAGGGAAGGGTTTGTACTTCTGGACACAGTTTGTATGGCTTCTTTGGCTTTCCCAGGAAAACCAGGGACTTTTCCACTGCAATGGTTATAGAGAGAGACCAAACGCTCAGCCTTCTACCCACAGGCTCAGGTCAATCCTGCTAACTTTGTCTCTGTGTCCCACAGAGCAGGGATGCCTCCGAGGCAGCCGGAGGTGGGAGCCCACAGCTTTCCCTGCCATGCTCTGCACATCGCTCCCAAAGGCTACAGCCACACAGACAAACAGGAGTTTGCTGCTGTCATGATTTAAACGTGTGACTTAAGAAACAAACCCTTTTATGGAACCCATGTGACAGGGAAGAAGCATAGAGGTTTGGTTTTGAACCCCTTGATCAAGTAAGAGCTTCAGTAAAAGCTGAATTTGAAGCAGACGCTGTTTTTATCGCATCTAATCCTCTTACCCGGCTTGCTGGCTCCAGGAAGCGTTTCATAGTCCAGCTGAGGGGAGATGAGGTCTCTCCTTGTTTGGCCTTCACACTAGGAGATGGACTTTTTTGTACAGCTCCTGTTAAACACAGCTTAGTTAGATGCCAAAAATTAAAGTTGTGGTCCGTATATCCAAATAAGCTCCTCATTCACCTTCTGAGCTGGGGGCTGCATTTAACCCCACTTAATTTATTATCTGAATTGCTTTCCTAAAGTGAGATTTATTTAACATTTCACAAGCTCTCCCTCAGATCAGGTGAAACATTATCACAGAGACATGTTATGGCAGCCAGGCCCAGGACAGAGCTATGAACAAGAGATGAACAGGAGATGGTCTTCCACACCTGCTGGAGCATGCTGCTGACTAGGTGCAACCTCAAAAGACAAATTAGCAGCCACTGGCAAGGTCTACTTCAAAAAAGGTCTTAGCTGACACAGATAGAAAGAGGATAATTACAAATCTAACATTTCTGTCTAAAAATCACCTTACTCTGCTGCTACCTGTGACATCAATAGCACTCCACCATTGCCAAGAGTTTGCTTTCATCTGTAAGATTTTAGGAAGTGCTAAATCTGGAGTTCAAAAACATCAGACAAATGCTGGAGCACACATTTTGACATGACCCCGAAGATTAAAATGGAATTAAAACATATAGTCCAGTATGCAATATCTGGACTTTTTCAAATGGACACAACAATACTTTCTCTTTTTTTTTTTTTCTTTTTCCATCTACATGGATAAGTGTACGCAGATGGAGTTGATTCCTCCTGTCCTACCGGGATACTGTGCTTCCCGTTCATCTTGAAGAGATGATAGAGCAACCACCTCTTGGCAACCCTACTTTCAGATCATGGCAGCCTAGCGAAACAAAGCACGTAACATGAGCTATAGAGTTGATCCATCTGAACTAGATGTTTTTGCTAAAATTCCTGCAGTGGACAGAGTGATTATACCCTCTAAACTATTCTGCTGTTTTGAGGGCCCTGAAAATATTGATGTTGGGGAACCCAAGAGCATGTCCTTAAAGCTTCCTGCATCTGGAAAAGGACATTTATTAGGAGAGAACATGCTGCTACCTGTGACGTGAGAGGAGCTGGCATCCTTGCTCTCTCTGTGGGTAGTACGTGCGATTGCTTCATCCATCTCCTGCTCAGAAACCTAAAGTCAAGTGGAAGACAGAGATCAAACTGGGTAGATGAAACGAAGATGAAAGTCTGACCACTTATCACTACAAACACATGATTCATTTCAGATATGCTACTATTTTTAAAGATGCAGTGAAGAAGACCTAGTTGAGAGCTCCTGAGTCCTGGTCCCCTGATTCAGACTCCCTCCATGCCACTCTCCTGCAGAAACCAGGAGGCGGAAGCCTGCTGACTTCATGAAGGCCACATCCAAGTGCCACATTACAGAAACAAACAAAACAGCACTAGACTTAAAGAAATCAAATGAAGCTATTACAGCATAATTTTAACTCAATTAAGTGCTGCACATTGATTTATCAAGAAAATATTACTTTAAAATAGACAAAGTCTGCTTTGTATAAGCATACATCAGCAACAGAAAATATTCTACACTTAATCTACCGGAAGAATACCAGACTTCCCGAGATATTAGCTGTCTTTTTAATTTTCATTTCTCCTTGCTTTTAAAAAGAAAACCTAAATCAGTAATTGGTAATTAATGTTTCTCTGGTTTAAGAATAAATACTGGTTTACCATATTTGCTAATTTTGTTCTGAATTACTGCCATGCACTTAATTCTTATTACTGGAAAAGTCCACATAATTTTATAACAGGAACAACTAGTCTGAAGGAATATATATTTAAAAACAGAAAGCAAGTTAATTCTGTCAAAAATGATTTCTATACGCATTGCTTTACATGAATTAAAATTCAGCATAAATAGAGACTAGAAACTTGAATCTTTCTGAACCATGAAGATTTGAAAGATTCCTAAGCAAACTCAGCAGTTTAAACATAGTTTAAATGCCACATTCACTCAGAATAACAAGAAGAAAGAAAATTTTGTGGTATTTCTCTTGGAAGTACATGAAAACACCGAAGTGAATATATTCAGCAACAAAATGTACTGTGGACCTTTTGTGTCATAAAATGAGACATTAAGTATAAAAATGTCTAAACCAACATGAGCCTTTGTAGAAATACATCTCTGTTTTCAGCCTGTGGCATGACCTTACAGCAAACCAAAAGCCTCCGGGCTCCTGGGGCACGGGGAGTTCCTACAGGACACAGACCAAGCCCTGAGAGTATGCTCCAGGACCTTTACACAAACCTTTGGGTACAAGATGTCCCAAGAGTACAACTAGGTGCTGAGCAGACTGCAGTATTTGTTTAAAGCTAACCAAAAATCCACAATTCTGCAAGCTCTGCCAATTTTGATTTTTAGCATCCTCTATGCCTCAGGCAGATCAAACTGGAGAGGGACAAACTAATTCCTAACTACAATCTGCAGGCTGGGGTATTATTAAGAGCTAATCAAATAAAATACCTGACACACTTCTGTAGATCCCCCAGTGCTGTCAGAAAAAGGGTGACAGTGACACAACGATAAATATGCGTCCCCATATGGACACTCCTTCAGAGATCCAACTATGAGGGACTGTGGATTCAATGCTGCCTAGGGTGAAGAAATGCTTTAGGGTGTCTCTAGCTCAACTTCTAGCTTTTCTTAGCATTTCTTGGCAAAGGATTTGTTGTCATTTTAAATATCACTCATGGAAAACTGCAAGAGAGGCCACTTAATAGTTTCCCTCTGTTACTGAGTAATAGCAAGCAATTAGCTTAACTCAGTTCATCTTCTCAGCAGATACTGGTTAGGTCACTCATCGGCTTTCAAGCCATCACCACAGCAAGATGAAGGACAGAGGAGAGAGGGCAGGCTCCACCTCATGGAGTCTGTATTTCATGCTACTTACAGACTCTCCAAAAAGTCTATATGCCTTAATAATGCAATCGAATTGAACCATCATGCTGGTTCAGCACGGCATACAGACTCCCTAGAACTACTGTTATCTTAGGCTATAAGCCCAATTCTTACCCCCTCCACGCTTACCTTTGACTAACAACCACTGCCTCTTTCTTTTTAGCAGCACAAGGCCTCGCAACAATGATAATAAACTCTGGGCAGTAGACCCCTATTTGTCTATTGTTTGTATATTTGATTTAGCAGAAAATACGCAATTAATTATAAAATAAGAAACTTGAGTTCTCCTAGATATGGATTTATTAATGCCTCCATTTGTAGTTACAAGTTCAAAAGTCAGAGCTCTCTGGACCCACTAATGCAAATATTTTTACAGCTTCATTCCTGTTTAAACAGGAAGGTTTTGTACACTCATGAAATTCTTTGAAATATTGAAATAAAAGAAGCTGTTATTCCCTGTAGCTTGGTTAAAAGGCTTTTATCTTCTATCATCAATTTTTTAAAATTGCTTGAAAATACTCACTTTGTAAACACAGCCTTATTTCTAAATTGCCCTTGCACAGATTTCACAGTAGCAGCACATTCCAGATTCTCACGTTTTAATTCCTGAAGGAAAACTTTGATCTTTGGACAGATTTTGCTTTTTTAGAAACAGTATTCCTACTACTTTATTATAGCTGATCAGTTCAATCTGTTGATATTTATATTCCTGGCCCTAAATTATATTCTACTCAAAGACAAATTAACTGCAAAATAACTTTAAAGAGGAAGAGGACTTGTGCCATTTTTGCGTTGCCACTTGGTCCAAGTACCGAGAAAGATGGGAACACTTCACTCAAGTAGTTCCAGGAAAATTGCATTTGATCAGTGGATGACTAAGTGAAAAGCAGCAGGGACAGTCCAGCATTGCTACAACTTACAAAACTGGAAGGCATCATTACAATCCTGACTTCTTGCACAACACATGCCATAGAGAGAAAAATCCAATATTCTTCATTTGCTACTTTCCCAACAGCAAGACTCAAATTGTAGCACCAGATTAAAACAACCCAGACACACTAATACATTCTCTCCTCACCTTTGGGTTAGGATGCCGACTAATGATAAGGCTGACTGGACCTGGACCGCATTCGCTCAGGATGGCGTAGGCTTCACTTAATGCTGCATGACGCAGGCTCACTGAATCTGCCTCCAGGATCTGGTCACCCCGACTGCAGAGACATAGAGCCAGTTAATCACAACCGCCTTTTACAAAAACATTTGTGCTTTCAACTGATGGCCAAGCTTTTTCAAAGATACAAGCGTCTGGAAAAGATCTGACTTGCAAAGAAACCAGTCTTGCTCTTGCTCCCAATGATGTGAATGCTTTAAGTCTTGTTGACTTCGGGATGGAGGTCCAGCGATCCCTTCTGCACTTACCATCAGTGCTACAAACCCTATTAAATCAACAGAGAAAATTGGCTGCATTTGGACTGGGCTGAATGCAAACTTCATTTCTAGTTCTGCATTCAGATACTTGTTGAGCACAGAAGAGAAAAAATTAGATTCAGACAGGCTGTTCCTTCCCATCATATAAAATTACTTAACATAAGCAATGATAAGAAATTCTTGATTCAGATATGAGTTTATGAAATGACTCCAGGAAAATATTGAGTGAGATAAGCCTGTATTTGCTTCAAATTAACTTATAGAACCCATTGAAAAGACAAAAAGAAAAAACAAAAACCTCTGAGAGGAAAGCAAAGATTGTTTAGTTTTGTTTTTCCAATTTCTTAACTCTTGCACATGATGCTCAGACATCTGGAACTATTCAAAAGAAAAGATCGTCAACTAGGGATATCATTAAAGCTTTCTCCATAATTACTAAAGCATCTGCTTTTAATAGACATTCTCAAATAATCTACTACTGCTGGTTTACACTGGGCTACTTGTGGCAACAGAAATGAGTTCGCACTGTGAGTCCACACACCAAAGGCAGAAAGGCAACTGCACATGGCAGCTTTCAGTAACGTGTACTTCTGGCACAGGCTCAGGAAAGCAAAGGGTGACCTATCAGTTCTGTAATCATGCTGCTGCTCTGCCCATCTTTTAGATTTAAACAGCTATTAGAAACTACACAAATGGAGTCACTTACACAGGCACATGGTTGAGAGGGGGAGCTCAGATATGGAGGAGCTGGATTCAGACCTCTCCTGGTATTGCAAAGCCAGTATTTGATTAATGAAGTTTTCCAAAAATCAAAACCATCATGTAAGTTTTGGCTTATGGAGCCATAAACCGCTGATGGGACAACAGAAGCAATGTCTCAAAGAAGCAAGCTAGAAATCTGGGAAGCATGCCTGGATATAATCAATCACTTAAACCTAATAAACGATACAGCTGTTACATACAGACGCAACCAGCACCGCAATCTTTTCCAAAGAGGCTTATAAGAAAGTTAGTTAGCATTAAATACTGTCTCCTATAGACATTTCGATATGGTAGGAATGTTCAAGCGTCTTGGCAGGGATGCCACCATAAAATTATCTTCTTCCCTTATTCCAAAACAATCAAATTGCTCTATCACAGTTTTCCTGGTGAGCAAGGAAACAGAAGGCACTCTCTAGCCATCTGAAAGCAAAGCATTTGCTCAGCCTCTCTGCACCAGCGCTCACACCACACATTCAGGCTGGATCGTGTGGTCCCAGCAGGTCTTCAGCAGAGCGTCCCTTCCCGAGCAATGCTCCCAGTGCCCACCAGCATTTATGCAGGAACGCAGGAAGGTGGAAGATTTCCTCCAATGGTTTTTAAAAATGAAGCCTCCAGGAAAGAAACAGCAAATAACTTTCTGTCACTTAATCCACCGTAAAGCACAAGGGAATCCTCGGAATGATTGCTTCTCTCTCTTATGGTTCCTTAAAGACATCCAAACTCCATGACAGAGTAAATGAGACGGGCAGGTCAGCCTGCAGCGATCCTGCCAGACAGAGAGTAAGGGCAGAAAAGCACTGCTGCAGCCATGGGCACAGTCAGCTGCAAGAACATCTCCCCCAGCTCTTTTTAAGAGTTTCAGGTGACTTGAGCTTTTAGCAGAGCTCTGCAAATTTCCTCCCAATCTGGGGTCTCTGGCTGCAGCTCTGACAAAAAGACATGAGGCTGCACTTCTTGCTGCTCCCCTTTCTCAAAGGGTGCTATTAGGCTCAGTTTTCTGTACAGAGAATTAAAAAAAAAAAAACCAAACCTTAATGATTATGCTGCTTCCAGCACACAGAATAATGTTTCCTGGGTATTTAATACCACTTTGGAATGTCTTTATTTAACTGTTTTCTTTTTGGTGAACTCTTAAGTATAAATTCCCTCCCGGCTACACCAACCAATTGGTGAAAACAAAGTCTCAATCAATTTTATTGTAAAACCACTCCAGCATGTTTCTGCTTTAACTAACCTTAATCTGCCATCCATTTTAGCCACTGATCCCGGGGCCAGGCTGTGAATGTATATTCCTGGAGAACTGTTTTCCAGTGTGAGACAACAGGCACCAATGCCGAGCCCAACCCCTGGCTCTGTGAAAAACAAAAAGTACAAAGAAAAGTAGCAGATTGCAATCACACAGGACACACAAGTGTTTGTGTTCCCACATCCCATCTGAGACCAAGACTCATGTATTGTTTCAGGGCTGGCCCTAGGTGCAGTCAGCCAGGAAGCCAAGACCAACAGTGGAAATCAGGACTGGAAATATCTGATTCCGACTGTTTTCTGAGATCCATCACTCCCAGCAAATTTTATGTGTGCTGTGGGAACCGCCTGGAAATGTCGCACAAGGTCTGATCTGGTTCAAGGCACAAAGGAGTGGGGGCAGCAATGCAATAAAGATGTCCTTTAAAATTATTGCACAAAACGTGAGCACAGAAGATGCTGCCAACTGTACCACTCTCTTTTGTTAAATATCTGCACGACATCCCTCAGCAAAGAGAGACGAAGAAAGGTGAGGCGTTATCTCTGGTTCAATTACCACCACTGTCCACTTCCACCTTTGCTTCCCTTCAGGTAACAGCATTCCTAAAGGAGGAATTGCTGGACATCCTACCTTCTCTCTCAAATTTTTAATCCAATCTTTAAAATCAGCATATTTTAAGCCTTTAAAATAGGCATATTTGTCCCACCACACAGAGCATATGCTCTAAGTTTACCCTGTGCAATTATTGATAACGACAGCAACCCCTAGGCACGAGTTCAAACAGTTCATCTGGGCAATTTTGAGCACTCCGTGTGGCTTTGCCTTCCCCAGAGCTGCCCTTTACAAGAACGGCATGACCATTCGGGCTGCCAAGAGGCTGATTCACATTTCACCTGGTATCTCACAGCCTCCCCCTTTCAGCTGCATGGACATTGATTGCTACCCATGAGAGTCTCCTGACTGGAGCAGCAAAGTGTAGAAGGGGGAACTCTTTAAAGGTTTTTGCATTAGAGGATGTTTTTCTCCCCCATCCTGTGGTTTAAGGTCACATGGACATGGGTAGGTGCCCTGGATATTAGAGCCTCTAGCCTGTTCCCAAAAACTCCCCTAAGAAGCAGGGATTCGTTCTCCAAGCCCATTTCAATGGACCCTCACCTTTATTGAGCGTCACATCCATGACGATCCTGTCCTTTGGGCCGGGTCCTTTGCGGCTGGAGGAGGAACCGTCCACCTCATCGGGGCCAGGGACTGGCGTGCCACCGCTGGCGCTGGAGCTGGGGGAGCTGGAGCGGCTCAGCAAGGTGGGAGTCACACAGGGCGTGAGGTTCGGGCTGCGCAGCCGTGTGCGCACCGTCAGGGTCACCACTCCTTTCTTGAGTTGCTGGAGAGACATCACAGAATGCAAATAAGGCGATAGGATACACCAACATTTGCCAGTAAACCTGCATACAGTAATTTGCGGCAGCGAAAGAGTATGAAGCCCAAGGTGCTAAATGGCACTGAATGAAGAGAAGCATGAATCTCTCCTGTAGTACATCTACGTTACCTTAAACCTCTGAATGGCCTCCTGATGGGTCAGCCCTTGTAGAGACTCTCCATTAACTTCTAGGATTTCATCCCCTGGTAATTAGATACAAAAAATGAAGTCAGCAATATACAGACAACAGAGATGTAAAAAACCTTTCCTGTACATAAGGTAACCCGCTACTATAAGGATTCCAATTAACTGCTCAGTAAAAAGCCTTTTACTGTTCTCAGTTTATTTTCACTTGTCCTAATGCCTTTACAAGTTAATAGTGATGAATTAGCAGGGTAAAGACTTCAGCAGAGATCCTTAGTGTGGCATTCTTATACTAACAAACAAGCTGAAAACACTACGGATTTTAACTAAAGTCTGAAAATAGATGTTCATAACATGAAGTTCAAAGGGACTACAAAACTCCCTTTCTTTTGTATGTATCAACAGGAGAAACAAGAATCTGAGTGAAACACTACAGCACATCACTCCAAAGCCTGTTCAGAGAAAACTGGCCTTGCTGCAGAAAGCAAATGTGTCCTCTTACTAAACACGTGCAGATGGAGAAGCGAGTAGCCCACGCACTGCGATAGCAAATTCCCTTCTCACCCAAAAGAACACGTCCCGTCACATTTCTACCTGCTCCCAGGCTCTGGGTCTTACTACTTACACCCAGCTGTGTTGATCTACCTTCATTTTATTAAAGGGAGGGTAACGTGACCAGGATCCAGATCCACTTTCTGCAATTCTAGTTGCATCTGTGCAAAATTAGATGGGGCAACGCCATCAGCCAAGTCTAACCCTCCTCTCCTTTCCTTGCCCCAGTTTTTTTAAAAAAAAAAAAAGAAAAAAAAGAGTATGTGAGCTCTGAATAGCCTGCAAACGCAAAGGCTTGCTGGGTTTATGGGACAGCTGCTACTTATTGGCTTCCCATGGCGAGTGCACAACCTATGCTGCAGGGATACGAGCTTCCCTCTGGCAGTAAGTGTGAGAGTTGGCACCAAAAGCAGTCTCAAATACAACAAGTGTGATGAGATGTAACAAGGGGAATGATGATATGAGAAGGAGAGAAGTAACACAGGAGCAGCTTGAGGGAAGTAACACAGGAGCAGCTTTCTGCGGATAAGAAGTAACCCAACCCCTGCAGAAGGGTTGTAAACCACCGCTTTAAACTCATGGTCACTTTGTACTTTCAACAGTGCATGACAGTCTGTGGGTCTGGCGTGGGAGCACTTGGACCAGGGTGCAAACAGAAACAGAACAGTCCATACATCCAGCTCAGAGATCAAGACTGGAAAAGCAGTAATAAAATCAGGATATATATGCTTCTCTAACCAGCTGGGTGATCTTACTGCCAATCCCATCCTTCCTCTTTTCTTTTTCTGGTTATGACTCTTACTTGTTGATCCATGTCAAAATCATACCAAGAGGCTCAGAGAGCACAAGGGATCAAAACTGCCTCTCCCAAGCATATCCCTCTGTATAACCCCTCCTGGACCAGCACCTTTAAGCCAGATGTTGGTTGGATAGACACGTTTCACTGCTATCAATGACCCTCTCTAACTGAAGAACTGCAGATTATAGCTTGGGCAAATAAAGTTCATGGAAGAGGAAGGGAAAAAAAACCCATCATGCTGTAGTTTCCCCTTCTCAATATGCAATATAATCAAGTTAATTGCTATGAATGATCTTCCCCAGGATGGACAAACAGGGTGTGTAACATCCTCCACAGCCTCTTGCTGATGGCCAGGTGCCTAAATAAAGCTGTACTCGAATTTTTCTGCTGGACCGAAATAATATCCCACTGTGGTCCTTCATATGCAGTTGGATTCTCTCTACCATACCTTCTTTAAGCCTTCCATCAGCTGCTGCTGCTCCATTTGGGAATATAGTCTTCACGAAAATCCCCATGCGTCCCCGAGCAGAATCCTGACCTCCCACAATGCTGAATCCAAGACCCTACAGAGAAGGGAGAAGACACACAGCTGGCATCTTACTCTATTATCACCTGTGTGAGAAAGGCCGCCAATAATGTACAAGACAAATGAAAGATGAAAACTTAATAGCTGCTGCTGAATCGCACTGCCACCTTACCTCTGCTTGCATTTCCCGATTTACTTTCACTCTAATATCAACACACCTACCAGCCCAAAAAGTAGCAGCAGGCACCTTATGCTAAAAGGCAAAAATGCTATTTCGAGATTTTTTTTTTTTTTTTTTAAACAATGGGTCAATGGCTTTATGTTATCCTATTCCCATTTTAAAAACTGTAACACATTGCTCTTAAATTGACAGGCAGTAGGTTCCCACCCCTGAGATCTATATCCAGGATTAACTGTAGTTTTCTCTGCTGTCACAGATCCTGCGTTTCCTCAGGAAAAAGAAAAGCTTAAGAACATGACATAAGGTCAGTGCTGTAATGTCAGGAATGTAGCTGGAAGGGGGTTGGCGTGGGGGGACTGCCATGCACATGTACATTTTTAATTATTCTGGAGACATGTACCATGTTGTATTTAAATAAATCTAGATCAATACATTCCCCAGGGCTCCATCTGTTAGCTCTTGCCCCTGCACTGCCCCGGCTGGCTGTGGGACTGTCTTGTGAAGCTGATCAGGGAATGGATGAGCACAGCAGAACGAACCTCTCCCCCTTCTGCTGAGTTATTTCCCAGCCAAGTCGCTTCCTTGATCCATTCCCCCCACATACTTCTCCTCTTGTCACCGCTGTACATGTATTTTACAGAATAAAGAGAAAAGTCACCGGCCAGGTGGACAAGGGAAGTGGAAAACTGTTGTGCTTCAGTGATCTGAAGCCACGGTTATTATTAGCGCCTCAGGCAGTGCTCTCCAGCTGAGGGATGCTGCCAGGGCAGGCACTAACGCTGTGTTTACAACCCAGTACAACAACCAGCTCTTTTGTTTTACTCTGTGAATATAAAATAGACTACCACAGTTATGAGCTTCTAGTAATTTGATAAGACATTACTGATCTCTAGAAAGGAAGCATCCTAGCTCCCCCGTGCAACACAAAATAACTAACTGTTTACTGTGCAGTTATCAAATGCAAAGCAACCTACAGAAAGCAGGAGGCTCCAGGCATTCCCCTACACGGACACAGCAGTTCTCCCCACTGCTCCGTGGGGCGGGTTGAGAGAAATACGGCTGCAAAGCACAGTCATTCCCACATCAGCCCACCTTCCCAGAGAAGCGCTGCCACTCCATAGCAGAAAACCACCCCTTGCAGATCTTCCTACAGAAGAAAAACCAAGGGCAAACACTTGGCTTCCAGCCACCAGCATGGCAACTCTGTGGAAATACTTTTCAAGTCCCGGTTCTGCATAGAGATAATAAAGCAAATGCTGCTGTAGAAATTGTACACAGTGCAATCCCTAACAGAGATGATCGCTCAAAAAGTGGGTGAAAGGCACCCAAAATAGCAGTTGTTTGAGGTGGTTCACGATCACTAGAGTCTGCATGCTCCCAACTGCTTCGTAACGCCTTGGAGCTAACTGCAGAAAGGCAGGAAGAGGGTGGCTTATCCCACAGGGAGAAACAATCTAATTCTTATGAGAAAAATGGGGTAAAAAAAAAAAAGTATGTGAAAAATGAAGAAATATTCACTTGGAAATGTCAGGAAAGACTTGAAGCTCCCAAAACAAGGAGACTTATAGCAACCATGAGTCAATCTACCTGGAGAAATCACTATTTCTAACTCTTTGCTAAACTTAAAGCACAACAAGGAATTTGTTTTACATTTGAGCTTGAAAGTCAAAACAAGTCTTTTTAGTCCAAAACATATCCACCTTATGAATTTAAAGAGTACTTCAGAAAAAGACATGCCTATTTTTAGCATATTTAAATGACGGCTCCAAAAATGGTGTGGATTGGATTAGGGAAAACAATATACACCTAGGTTAATGCTTCTGTATTTTCCCTTAGCATTCAACCAGCTGGTATCTAGCAAATGTGCAAACACATTACTGGGGGGAGAAAAGAAGACTCTTTGACCCAGAGAATTCAGTGCTCTCAGATAAGCAATCAAGCAGGAACCTGTCTTTGTGTTTAATGCTTAATTTGCAGTGATTTTTTTTATGTATCCAGATTCCACAGAGATACAATATGCTTGTCCATAAATATGCATGCAAACAGGTACTCTTCTGTAGCTGCACCAACTTTGCATAAACATACATATTTATAGCTCCATTATTAATATTTGATATCTCAGTAATGACCAGATGCACCAAATCAGAATGAAAGCCACCCCGCATCAAGTGCATGACATGAACATTGCTTCCCCTGTATTTTGCAGGTGTAACTTTGGCATTTACATTTGAAAATGGGATTTGTTTATTATTATTGTTATTATTCTTAATGGCTACCTTGAGACCTGCTGGAAGTCCTGGGCATTGGAGACACCTCTTAAATTACAGCTCTTGCTACATGTAAGAAACCAGCCACATGCAGAAATCCTCACCTTGCTTTGCCCTTTCATCAGGACGATGTTAGAAATGATGGATGGCTGGGTCAGTCTCCATGGAGATTCCACTTGGGCGGCACTGAAGGAACGGGTGTATTTCTTCATGATATGGTAGTCCTAATAAACATCAGCAAACAAGGGAAGTTGCTCTGATTGCTTGGCACAGGCACTGGGATGTCATACCGGGAAAACTGCGTGTGTCGGGAATGAGGGGGGGTGGGATCTTACAGATATATTCAGAAAAATGTTCAAGGGATGAAATCCTAGCTCATTACAGTCAAAGTGAATCTTGCCACAGTAATTTTCCCGTTATCGGCAAAAAAAAAAAAAAAAAAAAAGGAAAGAAAAAAAAGCCTACATTATCAATCCATTAAAATAAAGAGAAGCAGGATTTTTTTGTTTAAGTCCTCAGATGTCTAGAACTGCAACTTCTAAGATCAGCCTTAGGACCTCCTGGCCATAGCAAGAAGTACTCCCCCTTCACCATCCTCAGAGTAAATAAGTTCTCCATAGGTGCCCAAGGCATCCCATTTGGGTGTCCAGGCCTGGTTTTAGCCCCCGTAATGTACCTATGTGATCTTGTTTCACCATGCTCGCTTCTATGAGCTCCAGACAGATCTCGAAGTACCGAGCACAGCGAGGTGCTCAGAGCCACCCCTGACTTTCCACCCACCTGCCTGGCTCCCGCTGACTCCAGCTGCTGGGGCAAAGAGTGCTTTCTTCCACCCCGGGAATATTTCACCGCTATTTCGTAACTCGATTCACCGTTTTCCACTGTCAGCTCATCGTCTTCTCCCACGGACTCCAAGCGGGATCCAGCACCTAGGGAAAACCACAGAAATACATCTTGCAGACATCTCAGAGCTGCTTCATCCTCTCGCCAGCACGCAATAATCGCCTCCTGCAAATCCCAGCTTTAAAAGTGCCTTAAAACAATGCTATACGGTTCCCAACCAGGCAGTTAGAATCTAGTTTTGATCATCCTTAACTAAAAACTTTTCCTGCTGTCACAGGTTTTCTACGATCTTTCAGTGATGCTGAACTCTTCAGCGCTGTTGCTTGTGGTAGTAAGGAAAAGCAGAAGATAATTGAGCCGGTAGCTCAGGGACAGAAAAGAAATTCAGCTGTTCTCACCCAGTGGCACTTGCCAGTGCACAAAGCTCTCAAGCGTCATTTATTTAAAATTAAAAGACCTGACACTGTAGCAGTATTCATTTCTGAAGGTGTCATGTCACTTTGAGGGAAATTTTTCTGGAATGGAAAAAGGAAAAATGTGCCAAATAAATGCTATTTTCTTTCCTTCTGGCAACGATCCTAGTTGTCTTAAAGAGGAGGAGAGTGCAGAGTTCACATTAGAAACAGAATTATTTGTCTTGAAGGACATCCTGTAATTAGCCGCAGAGTACCCCGCTCCTCGCACCAGGGCTCCTCCAATTCTCATTTTCTCCAAGGTCCCCACAGGACCCACAGTCACAGCAGTGCCCGCACATTTATCTTGCCATTTCCCCCACAATGCAGGGAACGGCCATTAACCCCTATTTTACAGATGAAAACCCAAGACAGACAGGCCAAATTCACACAAGCTGGATTTCATGACGTGGCTTTAAGATTACTTTAAACCAAGGTTAAGTTGGAGCTGCCACAGAAAGGGGCAGCTCTACTTTCCCTTCACCCTCACTGCCCTGTCCTTACCCTGGGGACAGGGCTCACAAGCCATGGGCTGAGGTAGACCCACCGCAAATTTGCCCAGGAGAGCCCCAGACCTGTTTTCTGCCACCTCCTCCTTGTCCGGAGACTGTGCAAGCATCGCTGTCAGTGCCAGGGAGGGATGGAGCACAGAGCTCAGGCAGCCACTTGTTTTCACTCAGCATTAAAGCAGTTCTGGGGCTGCATCCATAGGCAAAATTTGTACTCGCTGCCCAGAGTGCGATTTAAACCTGCTCCCTGCTTTGAGGTGTGAAATTACCTCTGGTTTTAAAGCTCCCCTTCCCCAGGCATGTGGCGCACTGCTGCTGCACACAGCCAGGACTTCACTCCCAAACCTTCCTGGCACCTACAACTAACCCTTTCCCATCAGGCATCTACAACTAACCCTTTCCCATCAATTCTCCCTCTCTTCTTCTATAACAGTTATATTTCTGTGTTTTCTACCCATTTCTGAACGCAGCTTCCTTTGTGTGCTGCAGCCCAGGCTTGGGACCAGGCTGGGGGATGCTCCAGGCTCACCCACAGCCCAGGGGCACCAGCACTCACGGGAACCAGGTCTGGATCCCCAGCCAGCCACCAACACACCACAGGGGCTACAGGCAGAGCAGCTCCCTGGAGCATGCTAAAAACATCTGAGTAAATGGAAATTAAGGTGAATATAGGAGGGAGGGAGACTCGGAGAGTATTAGGGATGAGAACGTGGTCGAGCTCTGCACAGAGGTTACTGTTAGGACGTGGGGACAAAGCAACAGAAAATTTCGGGAGTATTCACCATAATTGGTATTTTGGTAATGGCATGTTGAAACATGTTCCCCACCTCAGTATTAGAGTATGGTGAAATATATAGGGAATGTAAATGTTAAAAAAAGAGAGAGAAAAGAAAGAAAAAAAAAATAGAAAGAAGCTTCCAAAATTTTGTTTCATCTTTCTGTGCGTACAATAGTTCAACTCAGGAGGCTGAATGCAAACATCTTACAGCTGGGATTTTCCTTCCAAATTAAACTAATATGATCTCCAAAGGAAAGAAAACCTATCTCACTTTTAGAGAGCTAAAATAAATACATAACATAAAAATCTTACTATTGCTATCTTTTATCAACCCAGCTTTACCTTGGGATCGACTTCTGTATTTCAGTATGCCACTTCCCAGAGTTGGACTCTGGTTGTTTCCTTTGGACATTTCTGCACAAGCAGGATCTTGAGACTTCTCAGTTTCCATCACCTAAAAAAATTTAAAAAAAAAACAAAAACAAACAACAAAAAACTTATTTACTTGTAAACGAGAGAATTCGATGGAATTCCTCTCATTTTTACTAAGGGACAAAAATTCCACTGCACATCATCTTTTTTTTCAAAAACATGTCATTGTATTAAGGCAGCACACATTTCTGTAAGTAATTTTCAGCAATGCCTTTGGCCATTATTGCAAATCTTACCGATGGGTACAGGTGCAGCTCAGTATGGCCAGGGATCCTCTGCAGGGTACCACACTAATGCCCCCAGAGCGCCTCCAACATCCACAGCACCTCATTCACGTGCTTCCACGTGCATTTTAACAAAATTTTGATGTAGCTTTTCTTGCAGTTTGTCCAGCTCAGGGAGCTTCCAGAGACATCACATCTTTATAGAGAAAACCACTTTAAAAATGTTATTTTATTGTTAGTGGCCAGAGCTGAATGCCAATGCATAATGGATGAAAAGTTAATTTAACAGAAAGTTATGAAGATTACACAGCTAAGCAATTGAAAGCCTGGAAACGCTCACTGTAAATTTTCACGTGGACTTGCAACCCCACCACTCTGAGTAAATGCACCAAGACAGGAGGAGCCTGTTTACCCGCCGTGTTTGCCTGGATGCAGGTGACAATACAAGGTGACAATGTACAGCAGCATGGCCACACGCACCCACAGAGTCAGGGATGAGCGGAGCAGTCCATGTGCAAAGCGCACAAAGACCCTCTCCAACCCATGCATTGTGGAAGACCCTGCTGACTCCCTTCTCCACTTGCTGCTTCCTTGACAGAGCTACAGCAGTGAAATTTTCCTAGATGTGCCACTACACAGCAATCCTCGACAGGCTTTCCATGCACACACTAATTGTTTTGCATTTTCACCCCATCACCCATCATGCATCCTCTGTGCGATTATTCAGATAGCTCATGGCAAGGATGACAAAATTTCCAATACAACCACTTACTGGTTGCATCATACTTTGAATGTACTGTATCACCTGCTGGAAGTCAGTTTAAAAAAAAAATCCCACCCAAATGACCAAACACTCTTACTGTTAAAATAATTTCTACTTCCACTATTCAAGCTTAAAAATAGAAGGATTTTCCTGAGAACCTGCCTCCCATCCCCCAGTCCCTCTTATCCCCAAACCAAGAAAGCCAAAGTTTATCTTTTGCAGAGTCTAGACTTTGTGATTTCAGTTCAAAGGGTAAAAACTTCAGGAAAAGATAAAACTGGGAGATAACAGGAAGCTGGAATGGAAACTGCTTTTTATTCCTCCCCCTTCAACATGAACAGCTACGCATAGTTTGCACATCCTAGCTAGTTCTTGTTGATTTTTCAAGGCATTGCAGCAACTGCTTCACAGTCCACTTCTAGTATCATATGAACTCCATGTAACAGTATTAATCTAAAGAAGAAAATAACTGCATCAGTTTGAGAAAAACAGTGCTTACAATTCAGCCATCCTAGTGAGGGACTCATTACAGAAAAGATCTAAGAAATCAGATCAAAAAACCCACCCAAGAGACCCAAACCATCAGTGATGAGGCCACAGCCAAAGTATCACCAGCTCTCCCTATGCTCTCCTTGAGTGCATACCCAGAAGACAGTAGAAGCATTTAGAAGGGAGCCAGGACTTCGTGGATCACACAAAGTTATGCTGAAATCTACCATATAAGCAAAAATACCCTTTATAAGTGAGAATGCCTCCCCTGTAGGAAGGATGAAATCATTTGCACAAACACACAAAAATCACATAGCTGGTAGTTTTAAAGGTGTGCAAAACAATCAGTACTCAGGACCAGCGTCAACTTTGTGGTAGAGAAAGATTTGAAGCGTAGGGATGGAGAAAAACACGAAGCGATGCCTAACTGAAGCAAGCACGGTGCTGCCTTGCACTTGCATGGCATTCAACTATCTGAACAGACAGGCACGGGTCTAGCTTCATTTTTCTGGAGCTGAGCACAAACCAGCTTGTGTCTGGAGCTGTAGAGTTGAGCAGTAGAGTTGTTTCATTTCTGCGGCATACATAGACATGGGCAGTTTCACTTGATAAAACTGCACAATTCCCAGTCCAAAGCTGGACTGCTTCCTCCAGCTTGGAGCTTGGGGGGAAAAAATTGGGTTAGTTTGCAGCAGCCTAAGGAGGGATGCTGAAACCATCACTGCCACGGCCAATTTCCACCCCAAGTCCAGGCTCAAGGGTGACCCATTCAGTACATCTTGTGTTTCTACTACAGAGGGTTTGGTTTGGAGCTTTTTTGCTTTTATTTATTTTGACTGTGCAACAGAAGTAAGTAGATGCATTCTGCAATTACACACACTTCCATCTAGTGGGCTGAGAGGAAGAACAGGAGACGATTGCCACTCGCCTTAAACTGTGCACCCCATCCCTTCACCTTATCTCTGCACAATCCTGGAGGCTGTGAGCCTACAGAGGGCAAACCCCCAAACCCCATGTATGATCCGCAGCAGGGCACGTGTGCACAAACACCAATGCTAGGGAAAGCCTGAAGGCGTTCTCAGCGGCCTCCTGAAATTACATTTTATCCAACTTGGCTTCAGACTACAATAAGAAGTAAAAACATCTAAATTACCTGTGTCTCTGTTTATTTCTTATTTTAGCGAAAATACTTTTCTGACACTGATTATAAACATGTAGGGGAAGACACTCTAGCATTTACAATGAAGTAGATGTTTAAGTTGTTGAGCTTGTCTAATAAACCACCAAGAGTCTTATCCTACTTACGAAACACTTAGAAATCTGATCCACAAAGCTTGCGAGAACTCCCCAAAGTCGTGTGTCTGTAATCTTTGGCTCTGTTGTAACTTAGACAAGAAGAAAAACCCAGCTCCACCTTATCCTTCTGGCCACACGTGAACGTATCGCTTTACTGTCTCGAGGTGGCTGCCCGCATTTAACCATGCCATTTTAATTTTCCTCACTTTCAAGGAAACGGAGCTTATTATTTCACTTCTGTACGCCTCTCATTAAACTAAACCAATAAATCCTGCCCAGCGCCGTCCCGGCGTTAAGGACAAGGGGAGCTTTAATACACACGGTAGTTTGAAGGGAGATCTAAAAATAGAGCCTATTTTGCCAGTTTGTTAAGTAGCTCTGGGATCAAGCGATGGTGACATCTCAATTGATTTCAAAGGAAACGGCGCTATCATGGACACGCGGTCCTGGCACCGCACCAGAACGAACAACTGCCCCCAGAGTCCTCGCTCGGGCAAAGCTCCAGCATGACCAGGCCCTTAATTAGGCGAGATGAGGAGCAGGATTATGAGAGTCTGCATTGTTTAACCGCAAACAGCTTGGCAATCGTCGCCAATCTACAAAAACAAGGCGGCACACGGGGGATGATACAATTTAATAAGCAAACTGCTTTACTGCTGCCGTTGCGGAGCTCCTACGCTGCTGCCTTTCCCATCAGCGAGCCCATCTGACTCCCCACGGCACAGCCTGCTGGCTTTCTCCACTGAGGAGTGCTAGCAGCTTATAGACAGGTTTAACCTGATAGTTAGGGAGCAAAACAGTGAGAATTAGACTCAGCTGTCTGTGGCACACCAGATTCAGCCCTAGCTGCACTGGGAAAGCAAGTCCACTGCCCTTCTTTGAAACAGCAATGTGAAAGAGGAACGGCCGTGCCCCTGCACACAGCAACCCTGCACAAGCTCCAAGGGATAATTCCTCATCTTCTTCGCTCCTGACACAGCCAGAACAGTTTTTCCTTAAGCAGCACTACCCCAAACATATTTAATCATGAAACACTCCAACGCCACTGTCTGTAGGGCAGCTGGCAGGATGAACCCCACGAGTCTCCAACAGCAGCTAGCACCAGACCCTTCAGAGAAAGGTTTGCCCAGTGCAAACCTGGATTCACCTGGTCCCTACACAGAGTCCTTCTTCCTAGTCCCTCAAGACTAGATGATGCCTTAAAGGCTTTAGCCTTTCCAAAAGTTTTGGAGATTTTCTTTGAAGATCTATTATAACTCTAGTTGTTCCAGTTATTTGTGCAATTATTTACTGCTTTCTGGGGCACAGCATGCTTTAAGCCTTAAATGTATCTGGCAGGCAGGGAGCTCCACAGGCCCCTTTACCTTGCACAGAAAGTAAAATACCTTCACTTTTAAATTAGCTCTTTTTCGATTTAATTGAATCCATCTCCCAGATAAATTACAAAGTGCAGCACTATAATTTACTGGAATTAATACTGCAAATGATGCAAAGGACATGGATTTTCTAATCTTGGCCAGCACTGAATTTTCTATGGCTTACTACTCTGTTTTAGGGCATGCACAAAGCTGCCTGAATGCTAGAAGAGCCAGGACACACAGCACCAGGGGCTGCAGCACCGAGGGGCAATTTTCTGAAACATACACCTCCCAGCACCCAGGTAGCACCGTCAGCTGAACCAAATTAAACCCAGATTTAATAATTTCTGGAGCAAGCTACAGGACTCTATGATTCTATGACTCTCCTCTTCCAAAGGGCATTGCATTGCTGCTCCCCTCTGCCATGGCACAAACGCAGAGATCCGAATGGAGCCAGAGATGGAGGAAAAGAGGAGGAACATTACCTCCATGTCAGCACTAATTCAGTGCCTTAACTGGCATCTCGGAAAAACCTGGTGCTCCGGTTTCTCCCCCAGCACAAAGCTGCTGGGGCAGACAGCAGCTCTGCACGTTGGCCAGGGCAGGCTCCACCAGCGAGGCTCCAGGAGGGCTCAGATTGGGGCTACATTTAGCACCAGTGGTGAAACAAAGCACCGACCGTCTTCCCCAGCAGCTCCTCTGGGAATTACCCATGCTGGTACCACTGGGTGCAGCCTGTGCTTCCTCCTGCCCCGGCAAAGGGGACAGGAACCTGAGGCCTCCATTACCTAATTATAAAGAAAGTGTTGGAAAATTCCCAGTTCATGTGCAGCAGGAGATCAGGAAATCTGATACACAGTCAAGAACTGGAGCTGCCCTATCTTCTGAATTG